GGGGCGAGGCGCCGCGCTGGGCTGGAGAGGCCCCCGGGCTGGGGGGGCCGGCCTCAGCTCTTGGGCTCCCTGCGCAGGTCTTGGGCAAGGACCACCCCGACGTGGCCAAGCAGCTGAACAACCTGGCCCTGCTGTGCCAGAACCAGGGCAAGTACGACGAGGTGGAATACTACTACCAGCGGGCGCTGGACATCTACCAGACCCGGCTGGGCCCCGACGACCCCAACGTGGCCAAGACCAAGAACAACCTGGTGTGTGCCGCGGGCGCGTGCCCCCAGCGTCGCGGCCGCGTCCTGCCGCACGCTGAGGGCTGGGCTTTGCTCGCAGGCCTCCTGCTACCTGAAGCAAGGGAAGTTCAAGCAGGCGGAGACCCTGTACAAGGAGATCCTCACTCGCGCGCACGAGAGGGAGTTCGGCTCCGTGGACGGTGAGACGCCCCGGCCCCGGCAGCACTGTGGCCGCCCGCGTGAGCTCGGTCGGGCCCCTGGCGTCTGGGCGATGTCCGCACAGCCTGGAGGCGTGGCCCGGCTCCTGCCTGCGCAGCAGCCCCTCCCCCCTTGGCGGCCCCGCGCCAGGCGCCCCTGCTGCTGCCGCCTTTGTCCCTGTCTCCCTCCGCCGGGAGCTTCAGGAGCGGCCGCTGCCCTCGTGTGGGAGCCGGGGGCGCGGGGGGCTGCTGGGGGGCGCGGGGGGATGCCGGCTGAGCAGTGTTTGCTGGAAGCCATTTCTGAGGAGTCTTTCAGGGGTGCTGGTGTTGCCTCCCACTGGACGGAGCCGAGACCTGCCGGAGCTGCCGCAGTGGCGCCTGGCGCCCTCTGAGCAGGGCCGTGCCTGCCGCTGGGCAGCGGAGGGTGGCCCCTTGGGGCGTCGGGCTGCAGGAGCCGCCTAGCCCCACCGACCATGGAGGCCCCAGGCCGTCCCCCTGGGCGTGTCCCTTTAGCTGGTCTTGGGGAAGCTGGTTGCCCTTGACCTGTGGCCGCTTTCGGCCACGGTGGTGGCGTCCAGGGGCCATGACTCCTGGCCACAGCTTCCTGTTCTCAGGTCCCCTCCACGCACATCAAGACGCAGGCCCGAGGCCGGGCGGTGCGCAGCCGAGA